CCCACGTGGTCGTCTATGCATTCAGGGGCGGCGTGCGGCACAACCACATGCTCGGGAAGATTGCCTCCAAGGAGCCCAAGACCACCGCCGAGCTCTTCCAGCTGGCAGACAAGGTGGTTTGAGGAGGCGTGGGCCTGGAACATCTCTGGCTCAGGCGCAGCGGCTTCGGCTGCCCCCGAGCCCTCTTCCCGCTCTAAGCCGCGGGACAAGAGAAAGAGGAGGAAGTCGGCCCGCTCCGATGATGAGGGCCATGTCCTTGCCGTGGATGGTGCCTCCAGGCCCCTGCGTAAGGAGAAGGCCACCGGCAGCAAGCCGGGCGCCACCACCCCCGACGAAAGCCGTTCAGCGGACAAGTGGTGCTCGATCCACAACACTTACCGGCACAGTCTTGCTGATTGCCGCACGGTCAAGAACTTGGCCGAGCGCTTCAGGAAGACTGATGAGGAGAGGCGGCAGAATCGCCGAGAGGGCAAAGCCCCCGTGACCTCCGCTGGCAACCGGCAAGGGGAGGCCAAGAAAAAGGCCCCCACGATGATGATGACGATAGCGAGGACCTGGAGTTCCAGGCTCCTCAGCAAACCGTCGCCACGCTCGACGGAGGGGCGTACGCTCACGCCTCCCACCGCAGCTTTAAGGCCATGAAGCGAGAACTTCTCGCTGTGGCGCCAACCCACGAGGCGGCCCGCCGGGCACGCTGGTCGGAGGTGAAACTCACCTTCGACCAGAGCGATCACCCCACGGTGCTCGCCCGTGGGGGGAAGTTGGCATTGGTGGTTTCCCCCACCGTGTACAACGTCAAGCTGAAGCTCGTCCTGATCGACGGTGGGGCGGCTCTGAACAACATCTCTCCGGCGGCCTTTGAGGCCATAAAGGCCCCGGGGATGAAGCTTCAGCCGTCACTTCCGATTATCAGCGTGATGCCAGGACACACGTGGCCCCTGGGCCACATCGAGCTCTTGGTCACCTTCATCGACCGTACCAACTTCCGCACCGAGCGGCTAGACTTTGATGTGGCGAATCTCAATTTGCCCTACAACGCGGTCCTGGGAAGGCCCGCGTTGGTGAAGTTCATGGCCGCCACCCACTACGCCTACCTCCAGATGAAGATGTCGGGCCCCAACGGCCCCATCACCATCTGCGGCGACGTGAAGATCGCCCTGGTCTGTGCGGAGCAGCGCGCTGACACCCTGGCGGCGGCCTCTCGGCCAGAGGAGGACGGCAGAGCCCCGGAGGCCTCCACATCATGTGCCTCCAAGAAGCGGATCACCTCGAGCGACGAGGTGCCTGTCAAGGAGATACCCCTTGGCGGTGACCCGTCCAAGACCGCCAAGGTTGGCAGTTTTCTAGTCTCATCACGAGGCATAGAAGCTAATCCCGAGAAGATATGTGCAATAGAGAGGATGCGCCCCCCCCAAAGCAAACTTAGGGATGTGCAGTGCGTCACCGGATGCATGGCTGCCCTAAGTCGCTTCATCTCGAGGCTGGGAGAGAGGGCGCTACCCCTGTTCAAGCTCCTCAACCGCTCCAGGCCGTTCGTTTGGATGGAGGAGGCTGAGCAAGCTCTCAACCAGCTGAAAGCTTACCTCACCTCCCCTCCGGTCCTAGTGGCCCCGGGGCCAGAGGAACCACTGCTGCTCTACTTGGCCGCGACCCCCCAAGCGGTGAGTGCCCCCCTCGTAGTGGAGTGCGACAAAGACCATCCGTGAACCACAAGCGACGAGCCCGATCATGGGAAGGGACTAGGGGCCCCATTAATCGGTGATGGCCCCTCGTCTCCCGACGGCCCGAGCCTCGATGCTCCTGGCCCCTAGGCATGCCCCGACGCCACCATGGGGGAGCAGGAGGCCCTGGCGGGTGGCCCCGAGGTCCCTTGCGCGGATGCGGGAGGAAGCCCCCTGGGGCCCCAAGAATTGACTGCCCTGAGACTGGCGCCCCTGACAGCAAAGATAGACCCCGCCGAAAGGTGCAGCGGCCCGCTATTTTGTCAGCGAGGCGCTTGAAAGTGTCAATTAGGCCTAGAGGGAGAGGGGTGAATAGGCTAATTAAAAAAAACAACTAAAAGCGGAAGCAGTAATTTTCGGATATTTCCGAAATTTTTGGATATATCCGAAAATTTTCGGAGTCAGCACAAACAGCAAAGTAAATCCTAGATCTGGTTGCCTACAACAAGAATATGCTAGCACAAACAGCAACTAGACCTATAGCGGCTCAAACAAGAAAAGCTAGTGGAGAGGGAGGAAGTGAAGTCACCAAAGATGAAGCTCACGAGGTTGTTCCCGAAGTTCGAATCCTTGAGGGGATTCTACTCTCTGTTGAGGAGCTCACTAAGAGCCGGGTCTTAGCTAACCCTTTCCTCAAGAGGTTGCACTAAGCACTCCTCCTTCCACTAAGGGTATCTCTTCCCTTTCGGAGATAAGATCCGACCTTCACAAACTTCTCCCGGCCAACCACAAGTAGATCGGTGGCTCGGGAGCGACACCTAGCCGCCTAGGAGTCCTCAACCTCCAAGAGTAACAAATGAAGCAAATAACTCCCGGAGATGATGCAAGTGCTCACAAATCTTCACGAAGTCAACAACAAGCACTCACACAAACTTGAATCCACAACTCTCACACACACACCAAATCCAAATCGAACACGGGTGAGAGGGGAAACAAGAAAGCAAGGCTCAAAAGTGCTAGAGAGAGAGAGCAAGCCAAGGGCACAAATGATTGGAATGGAACCAGCAGCCCTCACAAGTAAGGGGAGGGGGCTATTTATAGCCACAGCCCAGATTCTGCCCGTTGTGCACAATAATTGAGATTTTCGGACATGTCCGAAAATTCCAACTCAGCACCAACAGCTATGTCAACGAAGGATTTTTCGGACATTCCGAAAACTTTTCGGACAAGTCCGAAAATTTCCAGTACCAACAACATCGTTCTGGATGTTCTCGGAAAAGTCCGAAAATAACTTTCGGACAAGTCCGAAAATTGACTCTACTAAAGATTTTCAGAAAAATCCGAAAATCAGTTTCGGACAAGTCTGAAAATATACAGAACCACTTTTGCCTTCGCAGTCTTTTTCGGAAAGTCCGAAAATCACTTTCGGATATATCCGAAAATTTCCAGAAGCGAAAATCTGGTTCTGTGTGTTTTCGGAAAGTCTGAAAATGAGTTTCGGAAAACTCCGAAAAAATCCAGAACACACCAAACTGAGGAGAAACACTTTTTAAAAATAGATTTTGAGCACTTTGATCACTCCTCGTATGTCAATGCATCATCCCTCTTAATAGTGCGGCTTTCCTAGAACTCAAGGAAACGAAAACGTACAAAATACCGTTTGCTCATTTGCCGTATCACATCACATCAACGTATTCGGCGGGATATGCATTACGCTAACTCATTGAGGACATAACAACCTTCACATCTGCTTAAATAAAAATGTTAGTAATCTTTAATCGCATTGTAATTAATCACCAAAATCATTAGGGGCCTAGATGCACTTTCAGCGCTACGGGACGCAAAAACCCGATACCCTCAAGCTCAGAAAATGCTTTATGCAGTTCTGATGGCCTCGAGGAAGCTACGCCATTACTTTCAGGCGCATCGGGTTTCCGTGGTAACGTCCTACCCTCTCGGTCGGGCAGATCCTGCACAACCGAGAGGGTACTGGACGGACTGTGAAGTGGGCCATCGAACTAGCGGAGTTCGATCTGCACTTCAAACCACGACACATGATAAAAAGTCAAGTCCTAGCTGACTTTGTCGCTGAGTGGACACCAATGGACGATCCCGACCTACCCCTCGACCCTTCCCCCTCCGAAGGCGGGGAGGACCCGAACACCGACATCGGGGTAATGCACTTTGATGGTTCTTTGAACCTTCAAGGTGCCGGAGCCGGAGTCACACTAACCTCGCCAAGCAGGGACGTCCTTAAGTACGTCATTCCTCTCGATTTCCGAGCAACGAATAATATGGCGGAATACGATGGACTCCTCGCGGGATTAAGGGCGGCAGCAAGAATGGGCATCCGCGGCCTCCTCGTCCTGGGCGATTCTCAGCTAGTGGTGAACCAGGTCTACAAGGAGTACCAGTGCACCGACCTGCAGATGGACGCCTACGTCCGTGAAGTGTGACGCATGGAGCGCCATTTCGACGGACTCGAGCTCCGACATGTTCCCAGGCGCGACAACGCAGTCGCTGATGAGCTATCGTGTCTCGTGTCAGCGCGAGCCCCACTCCCCCCAGGAGCCTTTGAAGAAAGGCTCACGCAGCCGTCGGCGCGCTCGGATTCCCCGAGGGTGCCTGATGCCGAAATCCCCACCCGACGCCTCGCGAGCCATAGTCCTCGGGGCCCGAGGGGGTCAACCCCGACCCCCCACGTCAGGTCGCCTAGATGGCCGACATCTGGGCATACCTCGACAATCGCACTCTTCCTAAGGATCACGCGGAAGCCAAAAAGCTCGTGCGCATCTCCAAGCGCTATGTGCTAGTATAAGGGACCCTCTACAGGTGCGGTGCCAACGGAGTCCTCTTGAAGTGTATCTCTCGGGAGCAAGGCATCGAGCTCATCGCCGACGCCCATGAGGGAGAATGCAGGGCCCACTCGGCCTCGCGCATTTTGGTCGATAAAGCTTTTCGGCAAGGCTTTTACTGGCCAACCGCTCTCCAGGATGCCCAGGACTGCGTCAGGCGATGCAAGGCTTGCCAGTTCCATGCCAAGCAAACTCATCAGCCGGCCCAGGCTCTGCAGCTCATCCCTCTCTCTTGGCCTTTCGTGGTCTGGGGTTTGGATATCCTAGGGCCCTTCAAGGCGGCCCGTGGCGGGTACCAACATCTGTACGTCGCCATCGTCAAATTCACCAAGTGGCCCGAAGCTTACCCGATCATCAAGATCGACAAGCATTCGACCCTCAAGTTCATCAGAGGCATCACATCCCGATTTGGAGTGCCGAACCGTATCATTACGGACAATGGCACCCAGTTCACCAGTGAACTATTGGTGACTACTACGACAACATGGGCATCAAGTTATGCTTCGCCTCACCCGCCCACCCCAAGAGCAACAACCAAGTCGAGCGCGCCAACGCCGAGATCCTCAAAGGCCTCAAGACCAAAACATACAACGTCCTCAAGAAGCACGGGGACTCTTGGCTAGAAGAACTGCCTGTGGTGCTGTGGGCCAATCGGACCACCCCGAGTAGTGCAACAGGAGAAACCCCTTTCTTCCTGATATACGGCGCCGAGGCGGTCCTACTGTCGGAGCTCTCCCTAGGCTCGGCTCGAGTTGCGCTGTACAATGAGGCAGATCAGGATGGGCTCCGTCGTGATGACCTCGACTATCTGGAAGAGCGAAGAAGGCGCGCGGCCCTCCGGGTGGCGTGCTACCAGCAGAGTCTGCAGCGCTATCATCAGCGCCACGTCCGGGCCCAGTTACTGCAAGTCCATGACCTCGTCCTCCGCCGCGTCCAGTCGCGCTTAGGATTGAGCAAACTCTCACCAATGTGGGAGGGAGCATACAAAGTGATCGGCGTCCCCCGACCAGGCTCAGTTCGATTGGCCACGGAAGACGGCACAGAACTACCTAACCCCTGGAATATCGAGCACCTTCGCCAATTCTACCCGTGATGTCATGTGTCATTTCTTTTGGGCTCGGGCCAACTTCCACACACCCCTCGGGCTGTGCGGGCTTGGCCGGGGGCTACCAAGTGTCAATTCTTGTATTTCGACATCCTTTCTAGCAATAAATCTTTCTATTTATTTAAAGCCATCACGTGTTTTCTCGTTCCCTTCCTGAGTTTTATTTCGGCTTGGGAGTGGTTCGTGCTTACTCTCATCCCTAGGCGGCGTCGGGCAACCTGAAAAGCGCCGGAGGTAGCCCAAACGTGGGCCGTGCCCCGGGCCGCGGCGAACCCCGGGGGCTCTGAAGGGCACACTCGATCGTCCCCGACCCCCGGTCGCCGCGACTCCGGCTTGGCCAGTCCCGCTAAGCGGCTCCCCCGAGGTGACGGCTCTGCCCCTCGCCATCAGGGTCCCGAGTGCTAAGCGCGAGCTCCTTTCCCCATCCGAACAAACCCAGGGGGAAACGGAAATAGCATTCCACCCGCTAAGAAAATAATTGGCGAACCTCCCGATTTTTCCATTGCAGGCATTCACAGATTGAAAGAGTGCAAGCAAGACGAGGAAATAAGATTTATGTACATACTGGGGGCGGCACGAAAGCCTAAAGTCATCAAGTGTTCATCACAAAGACACAGCAAAAAAGAAGAAAGGGGGCAGTCATCGGGTGCCCGGGCCTCCAAGTCCTGCGCCGCTGACGACCTCGTCCCAGTCCTCGCCACCGCCATCGCTGCCGCTGTCTTCGCCCGAGGGTAGTGCGAGGTTGAACCGAGGGGCCGTCCCCATGAAGATCGACACAATCACATCGGCCGCCTCTTGAACCTGCTCCCGGGCCACCGCCTCAGTCCCCGGAGGGAAGTCTTCAAGCATGCACCAGGGGAGGAACTAGGGATCGTGGGCTTGGTAGCTCGCTAGGATGAGCTCCACCGCGGCCCGCGCCAGGGAAGCCGACGACGACTTGAGGACCGTGTCAACCTCCCCCTGCAACTTCTCCAGGTCGACCGCCATCTCGTCTAGCCAGTGTGCGAGCGCTGGACTAGTAGATGGTAACTTCTTGTCCCAGCACATCGAGATGCCCACCCGTCGTCCCGCGCGCTCCAGCCGTTCGATGGCGTCGTGGAGGAGGCCGGGCCCCACGTCGTTGGTGAGACGAAGGGCCCTGATCTCCCTGGCTTGGTCCTGCATCAGGCGTTCCAGAGCGGCGAGTGCGTCCTGAGCCGTGGCGAGCCGGTCAGCTAGATCGGTGTCACTGCGCTGCTCGCGCGACGCCAGCGCCTTCTCCCTAACCTCCAGCTCGGACGCCCGCGCTGCCATCGCTGCGCGCTCGGCCCGGGCGCCTTCCAGGTGGCGAGCCTCGCGGCCGGCTACGGCCTCCTCACGCTACGTGGGATGGTCGCCCAGCCGCCGTGCCGCCACCTCGCAACGGGTGATCTCAGCCTCGCGCTCGGCAAGTGCGGCATCACGCTCCCGCCAAGCCTCCTCCCGGAGGCGCAGTTCCTCCGCGCGTCGCGCAACCGCGGCCTCGGCGGTGGTGGTGGTGCGGGCATGCTCGGCGGCGGCCTCCTCGCGGAGGCGGAGGGTGGACTGCGCCCAGTCCAGCTCCTCCTGCTCGCGGTGGGTGCGGTCGAGGACCTCGACCCACCACCGGATCGCGGCCTCAGACTCCTAGATGGAGCGAGCGCGCCTCTCCAGGTCAGACGCGCGTTCGTCCAAGGTCCTGCCTTGGGCCGCCAGCGCCTCCTCCCGAGTCCGCAGGGAGGCCTTGACCTCCGACGCCGGCCATTCCTGGGCCGCGACCGTGTTGAGGACCCCGCGGGCGGCCTCAGCCCGCTGCACCAAGTCCTCGGCGTGGGCCTCATACTGCAGGCGGATGTCGCCCAGCGCCTCGTCCAGAATGCTGGAGGCGACGAGGGCCGCCTGCCACTCCACCTCCGTCTCGCGCATGATGGAGTCCAGCGTCTCCTCGCGCGCCTGGATCTCAGCCAGCTGAGCCTGGTGCATCTTGCGCCCTGGCTCGACCAGGGCATCCACGGTGCAGCGCCCCTCCTCCACTCGTGAACGGTCTGCCGCGACCTGCGCCCACTCGGCCTCCAGGGCCACACGCTCATCTGCCAGGGCCTGAACTTGGACGTTGAGCCCCTCTCGGACAGTGGAGTCGGCGGCGGCGAGGACCTGTAGAAATGGCTCCATGCTCACGGGAATCGGAGTAGAGAAGGGCGGGGTCCACCCTCGTGATGACGGAGTCTAGCTGGTCCTCCCACGGGATTGCGGGCTGCGCTCGGAGCCCCTCCTGCGTGTCCGAATCCGAGGGCGCCCCAAGTGTAGAGGGGTGTGGGTGCTCTCAGCACCCTCCACCTCGGGACCACGAGCCGACTCGGTCTCAGCCTTGGGCTCGCGCTCGGGCTCAGCCTCGACCTCGGCCTCTGGGCCGCGCTCCTCCTCGACCTCGATTTCAGGGCCACCCCCGAGGTCGATCTCGGGGGCGCGTCTGGCATCCCCCTCAGCCTCGCTCCTGGAGCCGCCCCGAGGGGGACCTCAGGGCCACCGCCACCGACCCCCGATAGCGTCCTCTCCTCCCTCACCGGGACGGTCTCAGCCATGGTGGACTCAGAGTCGGACCTAGTGTGAGGCCCTCGGGCCCTGCTGGAGGGTCGTGTGGTGTCCGCGGTCCCGGTTTGGCCGGCCTCCGGCCACCCCGACCTTTCAGGCTTAGATCCCCGGGGAGACTCACTGTCGAGCCCCCTCGGGAGGGGATTTCGCTGCAATAAAATCCCAGGGGCGCCTGTTAAAAAAAACATAGAGAGAAAGGCAAAGCTAGAGTGAAGAGAGATAACGGAATCGGAAGGCGGCAGATGTACCTGCGGGCGGGGAGGGGGGGCGTTTGAAGGTCTACTCCGGGGCTCGATGAAGCTCCCCCGGCACGGCTCCGTCTGCCCCATCTTCCGGAGCCTCTTATTCTTCCGCTCCGGCTCCGCCGCGGCGGGACGCTTGTGGCTGGTCGGTGGCCGGTCGACTGTGCGCTCGGCGCCGCCGCCGTGTGGATGGGAAGGCGGCTCGAACCCAGAAACCTTCCGCTTCCCTTTCGGGTTGGCGGCCGGGCCTCTACCAGCCCCGTGGCTCGGGCCAGGCGCCCTGGAGCCACCACCGCCGGAACCGCCAGCCCGACCGCCGCCCGCGGCCACATTGCTGCTCCCAGCGTCGTCGCCGCCGCCGCCGCCCCCAGCGGCACCCCTGCGGGACCGACCTCCGGCGGTGCCAACCGCCATCATCACGGCTAGGATACTCTCTCGGTCGCGGTCGCTGCAGAGGGGAAGGATCCCATCCGGGATCAGCATCGGCTCGACGGTGTCCAGGCTCAGCACCCGACGAACCACCGCCCGCGCGTCTTCCTTGCCCCAATCCAAGCATTGGCCCACATGGGTGCGCATCGGGTCATTGTACCCAGTGTAGGCCCACGCGCCGCGGGACCATTCTTGAAGGGGCGCGATGCGGTGGCGGAAGTAGTCGCCGAACACCATCGTCGCCGTCAGTCCTTTGCTCCGTAGGCCCCTAAGGCGGTCTAACACTGTGTCGTATTCCTCTCCAAGCTCCGAGACCGCCAGCCAGCCAGCGGATCGCTCAGGTGGGCCGGTGGGGAGCCGGAGACGGAGGTGGTCATGCAGCGCGGTGTAGAACCAATCCCTCTTCCAGTCGTCCCACTTCTTGCGGAGGTGGGTCTCGATGTACTGCCCCATCACCCCCGCGCGGGGCTGAAAGTAGCATCCTCCCACCACCGCGGACTATTGCAGCTGTGGGATGAAGAAGTACTGGAATAACCGCATGGACGGCCTCACCCCGATGAACATCTCGCATAGGTGCGCGAAGATGACCAGGATCATCATGGCATTGGGGGCGAGGTGCAGGGCGTGGATCTCGTAGAAGTCCAAGACCTCGTGGAAGAAGCCAGAGAATGGCGGGATTAGTCCCGCCATGGCAAAGGACAGGAGGTGCACGGACCGCTTGTAAGTTCAAGTGCCTTAATTTGGTTTTGGTGATTAATGACAAATCTAGTTATATGAGACTAACATTTTTGTGAGCTTTTGTTTGACTAGTCTCATTTGGATATGAAAGTAAAAATGATTAGAGGAATGTATTAAACTTCACATATTCTAACTTGGTCTCTCTTGTGGATCCAAAATATAGTGTGAGCTCCCTCATTGATCTTGATTGATTATGTGCATATGTGTTCCTTTATATCCATATGTATGCACATCTTGAGGAGGAGGTTATTCTATATTTTGTTTATTATAAGATTTCTATCTTGATTTGAAATCATCTTTCATCTCATCTCTCTATATTGTTTATATCGGATTATTATCTATCACAAAAGAGAGAAAAGATTGAAAGATCTTGGATTAAACAATTTGTGTAATTGTTGCTTTGGTGATAGATGATATACCGATGTTTATGGGATTAACCCCTCTTTTACATAAGTTTTAAACAAGGTTATTTCCCGATAATGAGATGTGGTAGATATGCATTCTTTGGTGATGGACCTTAATCATGACAAGGATGAAATTCATGGAGATAAAGCGATATGTATCACTTCTTATCTCCTACTTTTGATAGGTTCATATATATGATTTCCATGTTATTGTTATATAAGTGTGAGACTAATGTTTACTTGAGTCTTATCTTATTTAGTCTCCTTTACATTGAGAACATGGAGATCATGAAGGTATGTGTTTTTTGGTTTATTTTTATCATTGCTACATGCCTTCTCCATGTGTATAGGATAAACCCCATTGGTTCTTCATAACTTATGCATACACTTGCCTCTCTTGTATATTTATTTGTATGCATATATTTAGGGGGAGCAAATCCTATACATTTATTGTGCATGTTTTAGATCCACGTTGTTCACCTATTATTTATATTGGATCTTTACATTTGAGCTTGCATACGAGTATATGACACTTGCGATGTTAATGAATACTGAACAAACATATCCATATCTTTCATATGCAACC